GACAGAAAGAGCTACAACAGCGGTGGCGGGGTATGCAGTATCTTGGACTGGAAGTCAGCAGCTAGTCAGCGGGTCTGTAGATCAACTTTCGGCGCAGAGACCACCATCTGTGTTGAGGCTGTTGAAAACGGCCAGTTCATTAGATCGTATATCCAGACGGTCTTGAGAGGAAAGCTCCAGAGGGTAGAAGCGCTTGCCGGGATGCATCTGAGATGTATCACAGACTGCAAAAGTCTGTANNCTCCACAAGGAGGGGATTCCGAAGATCCCCTCAGATAGGAGGCTTGCCATTGATTTGTCGGCACTTCGTCAAAGCCTTGACTTAGAGAAGTTGTCTGATCGTACTCCACTCTACTGGGTTCCTACTTCGTATCAGCTTGCTGATATCCTTACGAAACCTTGTAGGGCCGACCAATGGTGGAGTGCAGTATATGGCAACTTCCGCCTGCCTTTCATTCTTTCATAGGAGAGATGGCAGGTTCAACTTTTTACTTTAGAAGACTTTTGAACCAGTGTCAAACCAAGCTCTGCGAAGGCAGATGACGGAGCGGCTTCGCCGCAGGCTGATGGTTCGAGCACAAAAGGTGCGTTTGGAGCGCCCCACCGGACGGAGGCACGACGGGGGGGGTCTAGGGGTTGGGTTTGTGCGTCGGTGGTTACCTCTTGGTTTGTTACTAAACCCTGAACCCTCAACCGCTCACGGAGCTCACGGAGCTCCGAGGGCCTCCAGGTCGCAGGCTTGCAGCAGCAGCAGCAGCTCCAGGAGCTCTTCGTCCTCGGGATCCTCGCCCGTCCTCCGCTCTGCGTCGCTTGTTCTCTGTTTCTATCTTTTGCGGGGTTTGGGGTTTAGGGTTCCATCCTCGACGACAAAAAGGCTCTATTTTAGCGCAGTCCAGCTGGAGACCACGATGCCGTTGTCCGGGCACAGGGCCAAGGAGACAGGGGAGTTGTCCACCAGCAGACACCGATCCATCCGCCGGCCCATCCGCCGGAGATCCTCCCCGTTCCGGTGTAAATACCAGTGCATACGTCGTGTACGCATACGTAGATATCGCCCTAAACTCACCACGTGGGCCTTCAGGAACGCCCCCGAGCGCTCCACGCAGTGCGGCCCTGGAGAGGCAAGGGAGAAGAGGGGAGCATGACTCTTCGTCGCATCCGCTTAAGCTGAGCTGCGGTAGAGGCGTGTGGAGATGCACTGGCGACCGGGATCTAGCTGGTCCAGCACCTGACATAACCCGATCGCTTGAGGGGCAATATGCTTCAACTCACGGGAGCACCTGGTCGGCGTAAGACTTCGACGAAGCCGTGAACACCACCACCTTTGACAGGAGAGCGACAAACATGAAGCCGGGAATGGAGAACGACGAGCTCACCCGGCTCACTGTCTACTCGTCTTCCTTCTGCCTGTGCTTCTCCCTTCTCCTTTCCTTTCCTCGCCTCCATCACTCTGACAACCTGGGCCTCCGAGTCAGAAATAGGGGGTGATCTTCGTCTTTCGCGTACTTGAGGCCTTGGGTTCGCGGCTCCTGTGTCACGGCCCGCAGCAAGCGACCTATTTATGCTGGTCCTTGAACGCAAGACGTGCTGTAAGGACAGACTTTGCTAGTCACGTTCTCTGCTTCCGAACTCTCAAGCCTTCCCAAGTTACAACCTGCCCTGGCTTGCGGCCGAGCGACAAGCCGAGTTCCAAAGTGCTCTCAATACCGGAGATGATACCCACGCAACCCCTTCAGCATCGAAGGCCATGCCCCGACGGGGCCTCGAAGAGCCGTGCAGCCGCCTCCAGGAAGAGCCGTGCATGTGGCCGCACGTAGACATAACCGGTGGCCTCTTTTCAGGCGCGCGAGGGCGCGAGGCGAGGCCGCGACTTGCGAGGGCGCGAGGCGAGGCCTTGGATTCCTCGAACTGCACGGAGAAGTCTGGCCTGTGAGGGCAATGGCTACTGCAACTTGAGAAGCAAGCCATCAAAGCTATTGCAAACACATGTGTGTGTTGCCATGAAGCTTGAAACCTTGAAACCTGCAAGATGCTAGCATTCTTTCTGCCTTACAAGGAACAAGAAGGCAGAAAGATGCAGTTCAGGCTCCCCTCCCCCCCCCCAATTTAACTATTATTGCGAAAGGCCCAGATAAAGGTCCTGGAGACGGTTCTGACCTGCGTCACTCACGAAAAGTCCCCCCAAAGATCCACGCAGCTTGCGTGATCACTCTCCCTCCTTGGGTCAAGGAGCGGAAGGTTCTGGAGGGGCTCCAGGCGGCAGTGCGAAAGTGTCTCGTCCAGATCCTGAGACGGGCCCAGCCGGTGGATGACGGGGGATGCAAGCGGTGACTCGCGTGGATCCGGGAAGCCGAGGTGCTAAGACCACGGTCAGGCGCGGCGTGGTCTCGCCGGAATCCAGGCACTCCGGCCGCGGCAGGAGCGCTGGGCCCTTCCACAACAGGCACAAAACGAACACGCAGCTCCGCACCTGACACCTTCTATAGGACCTGCCGTGCCTCGGGAACCGGACCAGGATCGGCGCACTCGTACCTGAAAAAGGTAAGAGCCCGATGGCCCCTGCGGATGCTGGATTCGAGCAGCGGACGCCAGGAAGCGCAGGGCAGCGCGCAGGCTCTCCTCAAGGCCAATTATCTCGGGACCCACACCACGTAATGGAAGGTCCCCCCCCCCCCCGCTCCCGTTTTCTGGGGCCCCAGCATCCAGCTCAGAGAAGGCTGGAGGCTCCTCGCTGGGATGTGCCATCGTGACGCCCATCACAGCTCGGGGCCGGGGCGGGGACGGCCTGGGCGAAAGCGGTACGAAAGGAGCGTCATCAGAGCAGCGAATTCGGGCTTGAGACCGATCCATCCACGCATCTCTTGGATCCGGAAGGGCTCTCCCGGGATGTACCATCGCAGCCGCCATTGAATTACATGCACGAATTCCTGTAAGATTTGTGCTCGCGACTTCACCAGATTGATGAGGCCTCCGTTTGCTGTGATCCCAACATGCCTGGCCGCGAGGCTCTGCAGAATGAGCCTGCTCTGATTGTTGGCAGTAGTCAGTTAGTGTCCAACTCCTTGTTTCGTCATTTCCCTTGGAACTTGAGGGTAAGAGGTGAACAAATGCAAATCAATCCTCCAATTCGGGCCAATCCGCATGTCTTGATGCACTCTCAAGTCATTTGACGCTTTCATGCTCGTCTCGGCTCTTGTCAACTACGCCCTGCAAAAACCTGAACAGAGAAGCCATAGTAATGCTTGCCAAGTCGGACCCCTTGCAGATGCTGCCGAAGGGCTCTTTTTGGCTTTTTCCAGCTAGCAGAGGCTGGGGAAGTTCTGTGGGCCATGCCCAGGGTACTTGTGGGCTGCAGCCGCAGAAGTTGAAAGTCGAGGATTCGGATACCTGTACAAACGAATTCGACGACAAAACTGTCAACATCGAAGCTGTGACTCGATGTCCTTGCGGCCCGCCAAAACACACCTCTAGAGCTCTAGAGATTTCACAAGACTCTACAGCTCGTCATGGGCTTCGTCCTCCTCACCTGGGCTAGCTGAAGTGCCCGCCCCATAGTATCTAGAGACGATGGGAGAGCAAAGATCTTCGATCTCCTTCTGCTTCATCTGTATCTCCTCCGTAGTTGCTGCTGGGTTGGCGTCCAACCAATCTTGGCCAGCCCGGAAAGCATCCAAGATGCTCTGCTCTTCTGAGCTCATCAAGCGAGAGCTGCCCTCCGTGGCCATGCTGTGGAGTCCATGCAAGTAGCCTTCCAAACCCAGCCTAGCATCGACGCGCTCCCTCATCTGCCGGTCCTCAAGGCGCGAAAGGACCCTTGGAGGGGACGGACACGTATACTTACTGTACTACATCTAGACTAGTGACTAGA